CTCTCTCTCTCTCTCTCTCTCTCTCTCTCTCTCTCTCTCTCTCTCTCTCTCGCTCGCTCGCTCTCTCTCTCCTTCTTGATCACACACTTTCTGTATTCAATTTCCCTCCTAATTTTTCTATTTTGCTTTCAGAAGGGCAGCAGTGGTTCCCACAGCTCAGAGGAGTTGCCCACCCAGGGAGACTATAAGGGGCTTCCTCTCTCCAGCTCAGGGAGTGATGGTGGAGTTCCGGAGCTGTTTGAGGAGCTGGATCTTTCCTCTGCAAATAACAAAGGTATTACAATGAAAACATTTATATATTAAATTATTTTAAAACCACTGTGAGCTGCTGGAAATTGATCTGTGATCCAATTACTGGACCATGGGGTGTCCCAGATTCATCAAGTATTCATTCTGAGAGTCTATGGAAATATAGCAATGCTCTGACAACACAACAGATAGTTACTGTCCTTTATCCTGATGCACCGCAAAAATCAAGGTAGAAAAAAAAATCTAAAAAAAAAGTTAATGTTTTGTCTCACCTCCAAGAAAATTATTTTKTCTAAGAAGTTACGGATAACTCAGCCTTATATTATAAGAAGTGCCTCCGCATGGTGAACAAAGAGGTTTAACAGTGACAATTAAAACTGTTTGTTCACATACAAAAGAGGACCATCAGCCAAACAATTGATCATTAGGGCCCTGATTATCTCTATTGTTACCAGAKGGCTGAGTCATACTGGCAATAACAGCATTAGAGGGGGACAACTGGACACATAGACTAAATGTAACTGACCAAACTGGTGTCTGCTTACGCATTGTCTGAAATCTGTAGCCTAAAATGATTTAAAAAATAGACAGAAAAAAATAAAACATTATAAACAACACCAGAGAAAAGACTGTGAAAGAGGAGGTGTGGAATCATATAATTCCATTATGAAAGTAATGGGTCACATTTAAAACATGAGGTGTTTCATTAGGAGTTTATTTTGCTTAGTTTGCATTTATTGTAAAAGAAGGATGTACCGTTATGCATTTATACAAGTTCAAATTCAGCCTTTGTTTTTCTCCCCCAAAAATCTCAACTAGTCCCTTCATTTTCTGTTATACAGTTTTTTTTTTTACACACTGGTTTCAAATCTTTTCGTGAGTACAAAAGATGGAACAATCACAATGTCCTGGGGCCTCATGTATAAACGGTGCGTACGTATTAAAAAGTTACATTCGCCATGTTCTACGCCCACGTTGGGTTGTATTAAAACCAACGCTGCGTGAAACCTGCTGTGAGAATGTGCGTCAGCGACGCAAAGTTTTTCAGTCGACAGCTTTAACTCACAAAGT